GACTTTTTCATTATTCTTTATCTTGTTATCTTCGTCATTATCGTGCAAAGCTACTTGCTCAAATGATTCATCATTTTTAGCAATCACTTTTTCATTATGATTATCGGAACTATCGCCTTCATGTAGTTCTAAAAAAATAAACTAAATTTAACTTAACTCTGAACACTTATTTAACAATTTCTATGCTACTAGTGAACAAATTCATATCGTATGGTGATCTAACCTGGTGGATGTGCCCTTTTAGTTCGCTTCACAAAACGATCCATATATATTTAAATTAATCTTCTAAAAAAAACTGAAAATATGATTATGAATTATGATACTTATACAGTACTATTACTAGCGCAACTCAAATTTGAATTTTTAAAATGAAAATCAGACGGAAGAAGCGTTCAAAAAATTTTCAAGTGTATTTTGCCGCGTGGGTGCGTTCATAATTTTCCTTTGATCATTTGTAATAAAAATTATAAATAAATCAAAGTAAACATAAAACATTATATTATTCAATTAATTTACATTCTAAAATTTATAATCAAAAATGGATATATTCAACATTACAAAATATTTATTTAAAAATTTTCGCCCCCCCCCAGTCAAACTTCCTGGATCCGCCCTTGGGTAGTAGCACCATCTCCCACCTTCAATCTTGTTGACTTTCTTCTTTGATTTATTCGATTCAATTTTATTGGTGTATTTATTGTTGAATCATTCACGACAAATTGACAAACTTTTACAACTCGTTCACGCGTTTTGACAACCAATTCGTAGGATGTCTGAACATCTGGTTTGATGTCTTGTTTTGACAACAAATCTCTGTATAACGACAATGGGCCTCGGCAATTCGCGCCATAAACCATCTCAAACGGCGAGAACCCTGTTGTTTCATTCGGTATCTTCCTATATGCAAATAGCAATGGTGGTAACATTTTATCCCAGTCACCTGGATCCTCTTGCGCTATTTTATTCAACATTCTCTTCAATGTGCCTTGGAACCTTTCACACATCCCATTCGTTTGGGGGTGGTATGGTGTTGTAAAGTGTTGTTTAATATTCAACGTTTGGCAGAACTGTAGAAACTCATTTGAAGTGAACTGTGTTCCTTGGTCAGACAAAATTGTATCGGGGTATCCCGTTCTAGAAAATACTACTATCAAGGCATCGGCAACATCTTTGGTTGTTATATGCTTCAACAGTATGGCTTCAGGGAGACGAGTACATAAATCTACCATTGTAAGGATATATCTATGTCCTCTTTTAGACAATACAGGCATAGGTCCGATGATGTCTACTGCAATCCTCTGAAACGGTAATTCCGCAATCGATGTTGTTTGAATCGGTGCCTGAATATACGGACCTTTTGGACCATGAATTTGACAATTATGGCATGTTCTAACATATTGTTTAACATCTTTGGTGATGCTTGGCCAGCAGAATTCATTTAGAATCCTATTTAATGTTCTTTTGACACCCATATGTCCTGAAAAAGGCGTGTCATGGGCTAATTGCAAAATTTTGTTTCTGTATCTTTGTGGCACAATCAACTGCTTTGTTAGCCCGGTCTTAAGATTAACTTCTCTCACATAAATCCCGTTTTCTTGTTTCATGATTGAAGCATTGGGATCCTTTCTTGGATTCTGAATCAATTTACTCAAAGAAGAATCTTTCCACTGTTCATTTGCCATATCGTCTGGTTGATAATTCATAATTTTACCATTTTCATTACCATCTTTATTTATCTCATCATTGTTGTTGTTATTTTTATTCATCTCGATTTCATCCTTGCTTCCATTATTTGTGTTGTTGTGATTATTATTTTTAATGATTTTGACTTCTTGGTTTTCCTCATCTTCCTCCTCTTTTCTATTATTCATCACTGGACTTGATTTATTTTGTTTTATATCTTCAATGGTTATTGGAGACTTCCTATCACCCAGGACATCATCATCAGGAACATTATAATTTCCCTCAACATTGTTCTCTGTTTCATTGTCGTTACTATCATTCATCTTTACTTCATGATGTACATGGTCAACATTTTTCTCTCAACTGTTCTCTGTTTCATTATTATTATTCATTTTAACTTCATCATGTACACCCAACATAGTTTGTTCTGCGATGGGTTGTGGCTGCGTATAGTTCTGATCTAGTTTTTCAAGAGCTTTTTCCTTCCTACTCTGTGATCTGGTAATCGCCATGGATTTATTGATGTCATGGTGATTTTGCCAATGTGTAATATCCGCTTCTGTACACTCTTTTACATCTGCAACATTCCCAATTATTAAATCGATGCCATCTAGGGGTTGATCTAGTACTAACGCTTTGTGCCATCCTGTCAAATACGGACTATCAACATAGATTATTGCTATAGGATGTGTACTAATCTCACCTTTGAAGTCTTTAACTTTTCCGTATTCTCCAGTATATGACTGTGGCCTCACACAATCTTGATGTATCAATAAAGTGATTGTACCGGTATCTCTCAGCGCAATACATTTCTATTAATCAACAAATGCTGAAATCAGTGTTAATTTACCATCGCCTTGTTGAATTTCTGCAAAAAAACTTTGTTGGTTTATACTGCGTTGATGCTTTCTTGGAATCTCTGAAGTAACAATTGTCAGTGCGATGATTATTTTTCTTGCAAATCTTACAGTATGAACTTTTATTGGAATTTTGTTGCGTACTGTATTTCCCATCTGCTCTTCTATGTTCTACACTGGTTTTCATTCTCTGACTGGTAGTTTTTGTTGTTGCGAAGAATGCGGTTTGCACTGAAGTTGGCTTGGATAACATCTGATCTGGATGAGCTGTTTTATACTGACGAATCAGTGTTGTCAACGCTTCTACGGTTCGCGGGCAGCGTTCCTTCACAAATACCTGGACTTGTTCATTGTATGCACTGATCACAGTGTCAAGTATGATGTGGTTTCTTATTGCTTCATACGTTTTATTTACGTTAGCCTTAGCTAACCATCTATCAAAGTACATTGTCATATTTGTTATAAACAGACATGGATCATCCTTGTGGTCAGGAACACTATGCAGGAATTTTTTTCTATATTCATCCTCGGTTGCTCCAAACTGTCTCAGAAAAGCATCTTTCACAGCTGAATACTGGTTTCTCTCTTGTTCATTCAGTTGGATACATATGTTGATGGCTCTATCCTTCAAATGACCCGACAGACTTCTAGCCCACTCACGTTCTGGTAATTCACAAGCACGAGCCAAATCCTCAAATCTCGCAAGATATGAATCGATGCTCTCAGTGTCCTCATTAAAAGGTAACATCCTTCTCAATTGATAGAATTTATCAAAACAATTACCGTTATCATTCTTTTGTTGCTGTATTCTGCCCATTTCAATGTCGTGCATTCATTGTTTCTCCCTTTCCTGGCTTTCACGTTCCCTTTCCTGGCTTTCACGTTCCCTTTCCTGGCTTTCACGTTCTCTTTCCTGGCTTTCATGCTCCATTTCCTCTAGCTGTCTCTCCCTTTCCTCATGTTTATGTTTATCGATGAATTTAGAGGCCTCTTCACCAGTTAGTCCCAGCTCTTTAGCAGCGTTTATATACTGAGCGAGTTTATATACTGAACGAAACTGCCACTGTTGCTGTCAAAGACGATGAAGAAGTGATGACACGAAACTGTTACTGTTGAGAACACAAGGTCACAGACAGACAGTTTCCACAACAATTAATTAATTTTATTTTTTATTTTATTTAATTTTATTTTAATTCACCACAATTTAATTTATTTATTTTATTTTTTTAATTTTAATTTAATTTTAATTTATGACAGTTTGATAATTTTACTTTAACAGCCGCAATTTTCGTTAATTATTTTTAATTTTTATATTAAAACTCTACGCAGTTTTCGTTAATTATTTTTAATTTTTATTTTAAAACTATACGCAGTTTTTGTTAATTATTTTTAATTTTTATTTTAAAACTCTACGCAGTTTTTCCTAACTCACGTAGGTCTCATAGTCTCGTCAGGGTCGCCAAAAAAAATGTCACGAATTCTTTCTTATTTTCAGGCTCTAATTAATTAAAATTACGCCAAACAGTATTTTCATTAAGTTTTATTTTAACAAACAGAATATTAACTAAATAGTTGATTAACGAATGAATATTAACTAAAACAGTACGGCAAAATTAAATATCAAAACTGTCATCACGCTTTTCAATGTCACCTTCTAACTACCACTAAACTAAACTGGTTTTTCTAATCGCCTCAGTGGCTCTAAACTATTAAGCGCTGAGCGCATAAGTTTGGGGATCGTCACAAACCACTTCCGAGTTCAATTACTATTTTAATACATCAAAAATATCACCTTCTTCGTTGCATTTTTATTATTCTTTTATTTTTAATGTCTGAAACACTTTAAGACGTGATAAAATAAAATTTTGTTTTATAAAATTAATCAAACAATTTAGAATAAATTATTGAAAAAAATTGATATTAAAAGTTGAAAACTATTTAACTAATTTTATAACAGTCTGATTGTTAATGAGAAGGGAAAGTTAAAAACATTTAAAATCGATATATTCTAATTATGAGTTTGATCAGCGCAGCTCGTCGTCGCATATTTATATATCTCGCAATTGACTCGTTCAAATATCATCACATTTAAAGATGTGGTCAAAATTATGTAAAAAGTTTAAAGTTTGTTAGAGAAAGCCCCTCTTTTGAAAGGAGGCCCTGATTGCCCTTGCGTTAATCCGGCAATGTATATATATATTTATATATATTCCGCAAATATACATATTTCATTTTAAAAAAATAGGTTTATCACCCGACACAAAAAAGAGAATTTTTCATTTAAAAAAATCAATATAGACATCAAATCAACGAATTCATTCAACTTATCAACGAATAACAAATAAAAACTGTTTTTCACGAGATTTTCCTTCAGAAAATATTTGCATTGTTTAATCAAAGTTGATATTTTTTGCCACTTTTCAATTGAAGATTGCTAAGCCATAAAGTCTTGCTTGACTCGTTTTCGAACGAAGGTAACTTTTAATCTGCTTCAATTTCGAAAAGTTTATTTCGCAAGAGGAACTAGCATATTTTTATCATTTAAGCTAACATTTTCTGAACAGGCTATTCTTTAAAATTCTTTTTTTCAACTTCCTGCTTGAAGATGGCGTCTTAAACGTTTTATTTCTGGCCCAATCTCATTTTCTTCTATTTCATAAAGCGTGTTTTTGGCATTTGGTATAAGCTCTGAAAGTTCTTCTATCTCTAATACAATAAGATGTGATGATTGAATGACTTCAAATTTTACATAAACATTTTGCATAGATTCTATTTTTATTAAGATCTTGATAAAAGTTACCAAGTGAAGGATAATTTCTCAATTCTAGCTTCAATATTAAAGGTGAACCTTTAGCCTTTTTCCCAGACACAAGTTTTCTTCGACTTTTTAGCACAATTTTTCTGTAGGTATTTCCATTTATTCACAAATGTATGTCGAAAATTTCAAATAATTTTCAACCATAAAACATAATTTTGCGACTCTACTGCAAAAAAGTATCAAAGTATCTAATGTTTCAATGGTTTTATCTAAACAAATTCTTTCTATATACAGGTATTTTTGAGTATAATTGACTTGAGTACAAATTAAAATCTTCTGATTAATTTGATGGATGCTGGCTTGTACTCCAAAATGAACACTATTATTGAAGCATTGTCTGGCTTGGACAGATTAATATCTAAACCCTCTTCATCAATGTCTACATTTTGTGTGTGATATCATTAGTCTTCTTTCCGGCAAGAGGGAAAAATTTCTAAAATCAATTCCCTGACCTCTACCTTTTTTGTTTTTGATATGAACATATCTGATAGTCAGGCTTAATTGATCTTGGTGAGAGGAATCGAGTATTGAGTCAAACATTATACCATAACACTTTGCTTTTTTTACAACTTTCATAAATTTCTGCTTCAAGGTATTTTCTAATATAGAAATAAATTCATTCGGTCGGGATTTAAAAACAACATTTTTTGTAACTAAGCATATAATATTAAAACATATTAGGTATGAATAAATATAAAAACAAAAAAATAAGAGCACAAAATCCTATCTATACGCTTATTAATGAAATAATTCATTTCAAAATTTGTGTATATCGGCTTTTCGGAAACCCCTTTTTAATCAGAGACCCATGGGCGGTCCGCCCTCCAGCCCTCTCGGTACCCTAGTGAGGCTTCGACTGGGTCAACGGGACACCGGGAAACTGTCGGTGGGCCGGTGGCTGCCAAAAAAGTTTTATACTTTAGTTTTAGTAGAAATTACATTTAATTATATGACAGCTTTAGGTAAATTTTTATTGAATATAGCCAAACTGAAACTACAAAATCATTATAAGAAGTTTAAATATATTTAAACAATAAGCATCCGAGATCAGCGGTAATGTTAATTTTAATGCAAAATTTTGATTAAATTTTTCAAGCAGCCATAAATTTCTTAAAATTTGCAAGCAGTGAACTAGATAAAAAAAAATCTGACATTGAAGTGCAAACTGTTTTGGAGGAAAAGAGAATTATTGCCAACCAACCGCTTGAAAATGTGAAAGGTTAATTTCGTCCCATTGTTCACAAAGTAGCAATCATAGATATAAATTCAAGTCTTTTAGAAAATGTATTGATTGTCGATATTTTGTTTTTCAAACGTCTTATTTGCAGTGGCGGATTAAGTCAAGCGGGGGCCCTAAGAAAAAAAAAATTTGGGGCCCCCAAACTTAGAGTGTCGTGGAAAGGCTTTTTAACTTTCAACTATTTCCAACTTATAACTATGTAGGTGATATACATTTTTGTACTAAAAACTTTTAACGAATTTGAATATATTTTGTCGACAGATTTGTTACAAACATTAATATATTAAGTGCGAAATTTTTAAAATATTAAACACTGAATTATTCAAATTAAATGTTCAAATTCCTTTTATTTACAAACACAACACATACACACACACACACACATATATATGTATATATATATATATTATGGAACGTGTCCGCGTTCATTTAAGGCTCTTCCAGTGCTTAGCGCTTCGGGTTTGTCTTTTTCCTATGGTGAACACCCTTCCTGGGATACAATCATTGCAAATATTTTTGTCGAGCGCCATTTCAGACTTCATGCTATTTGTGATGTGCTTCATAGATTAAAATTTGGTCAAATACAAATATAAAAAAAAATACAAAATTTCCAAATAGTCAAAAAAATATGTTTGACAATAAGGTAATTCGAAAAGAAGATTAAAAGAAATCATTTTAAAGCTAAAACAGCATCAGCTCTTGCTGACCATCTTGTATCTGATACCCTTTTTAACGAGAGAGACTGATCAACATCTATTTTGCTGTTCAGCATTTTCCAGCGATGAGTTGATGATGAAAAAAATGTAAATAGCTTTTGCACAAACATGAAATATTGAACAGCGGTTTTACAGCTATCAGCAGCAAAATTTCCAACTAAATTCAATGAATGGTTAGCACAAGGAATAAAAACCGCACTCTGACTATGTTCTTTAATACGTGCTTGTAAACCTGAGTACTTTCCTGACATGTTCGAAGCGTTGTCAAAAGATTGACCTCGACAGTTTTTAATATCTAGGCCAAATTTCATAAAAGTTTCTAAAACTTCTTTTTCCAAGTATAAAGAGTTGTGCTTATCTTTAGGAACGAACCCTAAAAATCGTTCCTTTATCTTACCAGAAAATGAAACATATCTTATCACAAAAGTAAGTTGGTCAACATGAGCAATATCAAGAGTGGAGTCAATAATTATACTGTAATAAGTTGCCGATTTAATTTCTTCAATTATTTCAGCCCTTACTTGATTGCCAACGAGGCCTACAAATTCGTCACAAATATGATAAGATAAATAACTTGCATGACCCCGTCCTTGGTTTGCATATTTTGGAAATGTAATTTTAAAAATTCATCATATTCATTTAAATATTCCAAACAGGTCAAATAATTTCCTTTTCTATTGGAATTTTTATTTTCATCATGACCGCGAAATCCTAATCCTAAGCGGCTTAATAACTGTATTGTTGAAACAATACTTTTTAAAACTTCTCTCCAATAATACTCTTCTTTTTCTCTTTCCTGCAAAAGCTGAGCATCAATTCTGCTCAAAGCAGTTGATCTCTTGTACAAAGTGCACATAGATGACGCGTGTTCTTTTAAAATTTCATGGTCTGATAAAACAAATGTTATTGATCTCCAATTTTCAAAGCCAGTTATTAATTTGGACTTTTTTCTTGGAAAAAAGTTTGCAAGGGTAACAATAAACGCACTTGCTAGTTTCGGAAAATACCAGCCATGTTCTTTTTTCCAAATCTCCGTTTGTTTTTTTCTATAAAAATGATCATTAGAGAGCCCTCTGCTGTAGTAAACATCATCTTTTTCTTTAAACACCGATTTTAAGTTTTCTATATTTCATATATTTTCTGGTTTATTTTTTAAAATATAGTCAATAAATGAATCAGACAAACTGGCTGGCCATAAGGCTATATCATTAATTTCTTCATTTTTCTTATTATACAATTTATCTGGATTTTCTCTGTCTTCTGTTATCTCACTATTTTTTTCATCAACCTGATGTTCACTTCCTCCTTCTTCTTCCCTTTTTTCAACACGTATTGGTCTGTGACAAGGTTCAAAAGAAGATGTTGATGGCACAGGTAACTCGATATCGCTATTTACTAACAAATATTTATGAAATGCATTTTTCTGACTTTCAACAAATTCCTGGATTTTTTTCCTTTTTTCCGCTCCACTTTGATGTCTTTTCATGTTTGTACTATGAAAGAAGTCGTTTTTATTATATTAATTAATTAATTATTAAAATATAATTACGTTTTAATAGCATCTATCTGCCAAGTTTGAATTTTAGTATTGAAACAATTCAATTAATTATAAAAGCCATTTGTAATTAATTAAAATAAAATTCATTTAATGAATTTATATCAAAAGTAAATAAAAATGTTTACCACTTAGGTACTTGAAATAAAAGAAAAAAAACAGACAACTAAATAACGTTTTAATTATTTGACCACAATACTTTTTAAAAAAATAAAAACGCGCTTTCAACAACAAAACAACGATACGATATTAAAGACAGAAAAGTAGGGATGTCCGAAGAAATATCACGGTGGCTAACGAAACGAATGACAGATTGTTTTCAAACATATTATTGTAAACTGCTAATGTTGCAAACGCTTATAACGTGAATCA